CCTGGCTTGGCAACTGGTGCCTCCTGGGTCCAGGGGGAGGCACCAGGGTACCCCTGTAGCCGATCATCAAGGCGGGGGGGCCTCCCTTGCACACTCCCTGGCAGACCCGGAAGTGGACTGGAAGTAGTTCTGGTCCACTTCTGGGTTTGTCGCTGAGCATACGAAGGCCGCCCCGCACTCCTGTGGGATGCTCTATCCACCCCACTATCGCAGCGTTCACGAGCTGTGGCTGGTACTTTGAGGCATGTAGAAAAAACATTTAAAGCTGTGTCTATGGCTGAATTGCTGATTCTCTGAATCAGCATCAAATCTTCAGATTCAGCTGAATCGAATCGAATACGGCCTGCTTCACACACCCCTACTGCTAACCCTCACTACTCAACCCTCAATACACCTCCCTGTTACTGCTGGGGACTGGAATCAGCAGTATGTGGCTTGCGATGGTAGCAGATGGCTTGGATGTTGGAAGGAGATTGGTGGCCTGCAGTGGTGGAAAGCAGGGAAGAAGGGCGGAAATTAGCAGCCTGCACATCAGGGGAGTCACGATCAGTGGCCCACCTCTCGTAAGAGGTTGTCAACCCCATGTCTCATAGCAGGTCACCAACCCTTAAATACTAGTTGAGGTGACAACCTCAGGTGACTCATTCAGTGCAGTCTCAAGGTTCTACAGAAAAAGTGGTTAAACCCATTTGGTCCCTTGCATTTCATTTAGGTTTTTTTTTTTTTTTTTAGGTCTGGTTTTTAGATACAATTTTGCAAAATTACAAGGTCTGCTGGAAGGGGAAAAAGCTTTCTAGCACTTTAGAAATTAACTTGTTTCCGGTGTTAATAGTTCATTTTTAATCCCAGTGATTCTCAGCCAGGAATATCACCCTGGAAGGTAGTAAGACTGAGGTAGCCACACAATATTATCAGTTAGGTGTGCAAACACCAACACAATTCACAAGAAATAGAGATTTCAAGTAGGAATCCAGTGTCAAAAATATTCTGACCTGTTGTGGACTGAGGTCTTTGTAACAGAAGACTTGCTCTATTACTTTTCTGTAGTGAAGAAAAAAACAAATGAAAGCTAAGGGCTGGCATTTTCTGAGAGGTGCCTTGAGAACCAGTGACTGAATGCCTCAAAGGCCTTTCTACTAACTGTAAATGAAAATATTCTTCCTCTGATTTTTTTTTTTTTTAAAGATTCATTTTGCCTTTGGAAACC